GTGGTTTTACTTCTTTACCTTGGTCAACATAAAAAGCTTCTGTGCTGTCGCTGTTAAATTATCTAAAAGAAGAGAAGGGAAAAATATAATTCCGTGATGTTGACATCTTTGATGATTAAAAGATGGCTATGACGTCGACATGTTTGCTAAGATGTTGTTCGATCTTTGAGGTGAATTTTTTAAAAATAATTCCTAAAATAATATTTGTTCAACTTCTTGTTTCTGAGTTCTAAATAAACATCAGCCTAACAGAGTAGGAATCCATGATTAAAAGCGATATCTCGATATTATTTTTTTTTTTTTACTTACCAACAATGTTAGTGAACTCTTTCGGTTTGGACTTCCATAAAACCCCAAACCAATAGACGGGGATACCAGCAAAAAATATGGCAAGCCCGATGCCCATTTTATTCGGTTTCTGGTAAATAGCGAGCACTAATACTGCGATGTTGACGATCATCTCTAAGACGGGAATGAAGAACATCACCTGTAGAAGAAGATTTTGATAGGAAATTTGTTAATGTTCTAGGGAGTCTAGGGGAGTTTTGATTGTGTGGTGGGGAGTAAGGTAGGTTAATACTAGAAGTTGGAGGGGCGATAGGGAGAGGGTAAAACTTTTTGTATCGACGTTATCTGTTTGTCAACCCCGCCATACCAGAGGCGAGGGGGGGGGGGGGTGCGGACCGCACCGGGTGACACCATTTAGGGGGGGTGACCCCAAGGCAAAAAAATAGCAAAATATAAAGAGAAAAACTTGAGGGGGGGGGTGCAAATCGAAAACTTGAGGGGGGTGCAAATCGAAAGTTTGAGGGAGCGGGGGGTGCAAATCGAAAATTTGAAAGTTTGTCCCCGGGAAGGGTCGCTACGCCTCTGGGGGTGACACCGTAAACTGCCGCACCGGGTGACACCCGACCTCGCTACGCCACTGCGCCATACCCCCCCCCCCACTGATATATAAGTCTTTCCTCTCCCCTCTCGGAAAGTTTAATGTGCCCCCCCCCACCCAAGGAGAAAAATGTCTAACAGAAACACTCTTCCTAAAGTATTTCTTTTCCTTAAATGTCAGCAGCTTGCTTCAGTAGCCTAAGCAATATATAGTCGTAGTCCATGGGACGTCCCTGGGTCCACCCAATTCTAATGAATGCTTGTGTCGAGGAAAGTAAAGACCGACCAATATATATATATATATATATATATATATATATATATATATATATATATATATATATAATAACACGATTACTCTAACGTGAACTCTGCTTCATCTGCCCAAATGCACCTTCCAAAATTGTAACTTGAAATTATTTTTGTCATCATCTACCGCATTACTAAATCCACTTTGAGTTTTCTTCTCTTTTTTGTTACTTGAACTGGTTATATCGTATCATAGACTACTCTCTTTCTTTATTTACAGACATCACCGGCTCAGGAGTTGTCTCCCATTATTCAGGCAGGCTCCCAACACGACAAACTCCAACTGGCTTGGATATCGGTTTAATTACCGTGTATCGGTAGCTTATGTCCTTCGGTATAGATCATTCAACACTTGGAAGATGCATACCGTAGGTAACTAATAAATGCTTTGTGTCCTAAAGTAAGTATTGATGCTGTTGTAGCTTTGTATCCTAAAGTAAGTATTGATGCTGTTGTAGCTTTGTATCCTAAAGTAAGTATTGATGCTGTTGTAGCTTTGTATCCTAAAGTAAGTATTGATGCTGTTGTAGCTTTGTATCCTAAAGTAAGTATTGATGCTGTTGTAGCTTTGTGTCCTAAAGTAAGTATTGATGCTGTTGTAGCTTTGTGTCCTAAAGTAAGTATTGATGCTGTTGTAGCTTTGTATCCTAAAGTAAGTATTGATGCTGTTGTAGCTTTGTGTCCTAAAGTAAGTATTGATGCTGTTGTAGCTTTGTATCCTAAAGTAAGTATTGATGCTGTTGTAGCTTTGTATCCTAAAGTAAGTATTGATGCTGTTGTAGCTTTGTATCCTAAAGTAAGTATTGATGCTGTTGTAGCTTTGTGTCCTAAAGTAAGTATTGATGCTGTTGTAGCTTTGTATCCTAAAGTAAGTATCGATGCTGTTGTAGCTTTGTGTCCTAAAGTAAGTATTGATGCTGTTGTTGCTTTGTGTCCTAAAGTAAGTATCGATGCTGTTGTAGCTTACCTTGTATGGTCTGGTCTCTGTTGGTTTTTTCCACCTGAGGTAGAGGAGGGAGGCGACGACAACAACGCCCATGATGGTGGAGAAGAGGGAGATAAAGTCCATCATGTCGGTCACACCCCCAGTGTAGAGCATGATCAGACCCCAGACTAGCTGTGGAGGGTAGGACATTAGGACATTAGTAGGACATTAGGACATTAGTAGGACATGATCAGTCCCCAGACTAGCTGTGGAGGGTAGGACATTAGGACATTAGGACATTAGTAGGACATTAGGACATTAGTAGGACATGATCAGACCCCACACTAGCTGTGGAGGGTAGGACATTAGGACATTAGGACATTAGTAGGACATTAGTAGGACATGATCAGTCCCCAGACTAGCTGGGGAGGGTAGGACATTAGGACATTAGGAGGGGTAGGACATTAGGATGGTAGGAGGGGTAGGACATTAGGAGGGGTAGGACATTAGGATGGTAGGAGGGGTAGGACATTAGGAGGGGTAGGACATTAGGATGGTAGGACATGATCAGTCCTTAGACTAGCTGTGGAGGGTAGTACATTAGGACATTAGGAGGGGTAGGACATTAGGATAGTAGGACATAATCAATTTCCTAGACTAGCTGTGGAGGGTAGGACATTAAGAGGGGTAGGACATTAGCACATTAGGAGGGGTAGGACATTAGGATGTGATTGGTCTCAAGATTAGATGTGAAGAGTAGGACATTTAGGACATTAGAACATGATCTGTTCACAGACTAGCTGTAGTGGGTAGGACATTAAGATGGTTAGGACATTAGCACATGATCATCCCCTATATTAGATGTGGAGGGTAGGACATTTTTTAAGAACATAACTAATTAATCTTTTAACGTGTGCTCTAGGTTTATAACTCGCTTATTAGAAAAATCTTGTAAAAACCAAAGTTTTTAAGTAGATGAAACATGGATAAATATCAAACGCGTTAATTAATTTGAGCAATAATTAATTATTCCTTTAAGAAAAACAACTAGTATCAGTTTTTCATTGTGTTGATCCCTACATGTAATGGCGTGGTTGATCGTTAGTACCTGTCTTGCTGTTCACATAGTTCGAGTTCGATACCCGGTTTTAATCTCAGAAAAACCTTTTTGAGTTCAACCTGTTTGAAATGGTACTTTAGCCAAGTTTATGTGCATGTGTGTGTGTGTGTGTGTGCGTTTGTCTGTTCCCGTGTCTGTGTGTGTGCGTGTATGCGTGTGTGGAAGAGAGAGAGAGAGAGGTGGGGGTTGGTGGGGAATAAAGTCGACTGGGCATGGTGTAAAACCCCCATCTCTTCATATACCTTAGGTATTTTGAATCGTTTAACACTATTTTGCCTTTTGTATGCATATCATCTAAAATAATCTAAATTTAGATTTAACTATTTCCAGATTTAAGAAAAATGTGCCTACATTAAGTATTCAGTCCACTTCACCAAGATCTAAGGCTATTAAAAAAATAAATCATCTCCAAAATAGACCGACATTTATTCGAAAAAAAAAATAGACATCCACTGACGTAATAGGACGGGCTTGAGTTAGTTACCGCATCACCAGGGGGTCGCCCGGGGTCGGACCAGACTGCCAGAGTGTGCAGCAGTACTTCCTGAAGTCTGAGAGACCCCCCACCCCACCCCCACACCCATCCCCTCCCCCCTCTCGAGATGATGAGGGACAGGCATGCCACTGCCATACCAAACCACCCTCAAATCAGGCGAACGTTAATCTAATCTGAAATCTTCGGGATTTCCCGTTTTTTTTTTCTTCTCCCATAAGCGGGCAAGAAAAATCAATGGTTGGAAGCGAATTTTTTTTTAGTGGGATATATGGAAACAGAATAAAACTTCGCAAAGCAAACGTTTGACCATAATATCCGGTGTCTTCATTCTTCATACAAGAAGAGGTTAGACATTATTCCAAATTAGAGCCATTGGTATGTTTGATTATTTAAAAAAAAATGGTTAGATTAAAGAAAATCATAAAACTAAGTGGATTTTTATTATTTTTTGGATCATCATTTTAGAAAAAAAAATACAATATTTCTAAAGAACAAGGCAAAAAAAAAAAAACAACAAAAACAGCAACAACAAAAAATAAAAAAAAATATACATGAGAAAATAAAAATCAGCGTTTTATTTCCCTTTGCCTAAGCTTTGAATAACTTTAAACTAAATTACCACTGTATTGAACAGCGTGATTGATACTTACGTAAATAAATATAGACGGCCAGCGTGTTACTTACATAAACAAATATAGACGGCCAGCGTGATACTTACGTAAATAAATATAGACGGCCAGCGTGATACTTACGTAAATAAATATAGACGGCTAGCGTGATACATAAACAAATATAGACGGCCAGCGTGATACTTACATAAACAAATATAGACGGCCAGCGTGATACTTACGTAAACAAATATAGACGGCCAGCGTAATACTCACACAAACAAATATAGACGGCCAGCGTGATACTTACGTAAATAAATATAGACGGCTATTGTGATACTTACGTAAACAAATATAGACGGCCAGCGTAATACTCACACAAACAAATATAGACGGCCAGCGCGATACTTACATAAACAAATATAGACGGCCAGTGTGATACTTACATAAACAAATATAGACGGCCAGTGTGATACTTACATAAATAAATATAGACGGTTAGTGCAGGGGTCGGCAACCTTTTGAGCGGGAAGAGCCAAAAGTTACAATTTACATAAGTTCCCAGTTTTTAAAGAGCCACTAACATGTTTATTTCAATATTTTGGCATTTGATTAGGATTAGATATATACTTTTGAATTTTGATTTGAGATAAATAGCTTTAAATATGAAAGAATATTTATAATTAAAAAGCATTACTAATATTTCGCACTAAACATATTCAAGTATTTTACCTAGCTCTGCTAGGATAAAATTAGTAATCAAATAATATAACTATACGACTATCCCAAATCCAATTTAGGAGCCAATGACTTTTTTATTCTTTCTTTACGGGCATCACCGGCTCAGGAGGTGTCCCGCATAGCCAAGCAGCCCTAAACACGGTCAACTCCGACTACTGGCTTGGGTATCTTCTGCCTACGGTTCTCATCGGGCTTATCTTGCTACCCACTGAGCGCAGGGTAAACTCGTACCCCACCGTGGGAAGCTAATAACTTAAAAAAAACAAAACACGTCACTTAGGTCAAATTAATGCATACTGATCGATAGAGGAATGCATTCTGAATAAGAATAATATTCCTCATTTAACGATTTTCGAAAAAGTCGGCAGTACCACGAATGGAACCTTCGCCACGGGGCGAGCTACAGGACTGTTGTGGGTCTGGTGCCCAAGCGGCTGTCAGCTGTTCGTATCCTTTCTGCCTCCCCTACTATCATTGTTCTCTGATGAGTGTTAGTATCCTTTTTAAAGTTGTTTTTCTTTACAATAATTTTACTGCGTTTTGAAAATAATATAAAATAATTATTAATATGTGTGCATGAAACTGGAGACCCGCATCTTGACATCTAAAGAGCGCATGCGGCTCGCGAGCAAGTTGCCGACCCCTGGTGTTTACACTATTCATTCATTTTTATGTTACCCTACAGAGTAGGGCTTGAAAAATAGTCATTTAGACTCATTATTATGTTCCTCTCCACGGAAATCTTTAGTAAAAGGCGAAAGATTTACGCGTTGTGAAGAGAAACCAGAGTAACTGGACAAGGCATTGATAACGAAGACTACGATTAACAGTTCATAGAAAAATATGGTTTTATAAAAATGAATGTACCCTATTGTTTAATATAGTTTTATAAATAATACATATGTATTACTTGTAAAGTTTACTAAACAATATTGTTATTCTATAAAATAATTTGTTGTGATCATATACTAACATATTTGTATAAAACGTTTATTTTAAAACTTTAATAAGATACTATTGGGTTATGTCCCTTGAATAATCTCCCTGCTTATTTTAATATGAAGTGGTGTGGTTGAATGTTAGACAATTTATAATTTATCTTTTAAGTATTTATAAATCGAACCCGAACGAATAGTTTAAAATATACACAAATCTTTTCAGTCTATTGAACTTTGGATTATTAATAACATTTATAGACTATTACAGATTCAAGTTACATTTTTAAAGACGTTTTAATAAAGAAACAGTTTTAATTGAAGTATCTACTTATTCAAATAATTTAGAGCCACGAATTTTGTCTACTAGCCTTTACCATAGGCTACAGGCTAGTGTGATACTTACATATACAAATATAGACGGCTAGTGTGATACTTACATATACAAATATAGACGGCTAGTGTGATACTTACATATACAAATATAGACGGCTAGTGTGATCAGAGGCGTAGCGACACTTCCCCGGGGACAAACTTTTCGATTTGCACCCCCCCCCCCCCTCGAGATTTCGATTTGCTCCCCCCCCCCCCCTCAAACTTTCGATTTGCACCCCCCCTCGAGATTTTTATTTGCATCCCCCCCCCCTCCCTCAAACTTTCAATTTGCACCCCCCCTCAACCTTTCAATTTATTTTTCCAACCCATTTTGGCGCCCCCTAAGCTCGGCGCCCGGGGACATATGTCCCCCCCCCCCCCGCCCCCCCTCGCTACGCTACTGAGTGTGATACTTACATATACAAATATAGACGGCTAGTGTGATACTTACATATACAAATATAGACGGCTAGTGTGATATTTACATATACAGATATAGACGGCTATTGTGATACTTACATATACAAATATAGACGGCTAGCGTGATACTTACATAAACAAATATAGACGGCTAGCGTGATACATAAACAAATATAGACGGCTAGCGTGATACTTACATATACAAATATAGACGGCTAGTGTGATACTTACATAAACAAATATAGACGGCTAGCGTGATACTTACATAAACAAATATAGACGGCTAGCGTGATACTTACATAAACAAATATAGACGGCTAGCGTGATACTTACATAAACAAATATAGACGGCTAGCGTAGCGTGATACATAAACAAATATAGACGGACAGCGTGATACTTACATAAACAAATATAGACGGCTAGTGTGATACTTACATAAACAAATATAGACGGCTAGCGTGATACATAAACAAATATAGACGGACAGCGTGATACTTACATAAACAAATATAGACGGCCAGGGTGTCAAGTACTTTGTATGGACCATGCCCAGAATTTGTGGCATATGCCCGTTTCGGGCACCAGCAAACAGCAGCCTGCAGAAAAACAAGAAAAAGTTTGTAAGAACATCAAGGTGTGACAGGTGAGATAATCACACAAACACCATGATAAAGTAAAACATGAAAGAAAATGGAAGAACTTTATGATTGGTGAGATAATCACACAAACACCATGATAAAAATAAAATAAGAAAAAGTATGTACGAACTTCATGGTATCACAGGTGAGATAATCACGCAAACACCATGATAAAGTAAAACATGAAAGAATATGGAGGAACTTTATGGTATGATTGGTGAGATAATCACACAAACACCATGATAAAGTAAAACATGAAAGAATATGGAAGAACTTTATGGTATGATAGTATTGATAGGTGAGATAATCACACAAACATCATGATAAAGTAAAACATGAAAGAATATGGAAGAACTTTATGGTATGATAGGTGAGATAATCACACAAACACCATGATAAAAATAAAATAAGAAAAAGTATGTAAGAACTTCATGGTATCACAGGGGAGATAATCACACAAACACCATGATACAAATAAAAAAATCAAACAAAATCAGAGGAATGGCTTACCTGGAGTGACCCATAATGGAGGCGTTTAAGGCACCGATCGAGGTCAAGGCTACAAAAACGGACACCAGAGGGACGAGGGGGCTGTACATCCGGTTCATGAAATCCTGGGAAGGAAAACGTCACAGTTTTAGTTTCACGATGAGCGGAAAGTAAATTACCCTTTCTTACCTGACGGTTCTTAGGCAGTGGCGTAGACAGGGGGGGGGGGGGGTTAGGGGGGGTCATAACCCCCCTCCATAGACGACTCGGTATATATAAAGTATGAGGGGGGGGGGGTGCACATCGAAAGTTTGAAGGGGGGGGTGCAAATCAATAGTCTGAGGGGGGGTGCAAATCGAAAGCTTGTCCCCGGGTAAAAATTGGAACCCCCCTTGAGACGATCCTGGCTACGCCACTGTTCTTAGGGGTAAGTGAATTAGCGTTCACTTATTTTAGTGAACTTGGTTTAAAAGGAGATAGTGTGGTCAGCACTATACCTAACTATGTTTACTTATTTATAGTTGATTGTTTTTTTTTTCAAAAAAAAAAAGGAAAAGTGACGGTACTTTATGAGGCTAGTTATAATGAGAACAGTAGGTGCGTGTTATAATTATGCGTCTTCAGCTATTAAACAAGGGACAACCGAGCTGGGAATATATTAAAATATGTGTAATATAGTGCATTTTGAAAATAAAAATCCTCCGGTTTCAGAAAAATTAAAATAACTAACTCTTTCATGTCATGGAATTAGTTCGTACTTGGAGGCGGGTTTAACACACGACACATTCAACGACGTGGTTGTCAGTTTTTTTTTTTGCTTCCTAACCCCCCGGAAAAAAAATCCGATTTGACGAAACCGCCTTCAGTACATTCGGTTTTCAGCACCGGAATTCTCTTCTGTCAATTGACATTTGACATTTGGCATTTCCTAACCGTTACTCGTTCCCGGGTCAGCGTGTACTCGACCCAGCAGACGGCGCCACTTGTTCGAAGAACGAAGCACTCCATGTTGGCCCGGGCCACGAAGAACGTTAATCGCATTACCACGGGCCTTAACTCGTCATAATAAATGTCTCGAGAGTCGCGGCCCCTGGCGATACGGTGGGTGTGATTCCGTCCGGTCATCTCACGTGAGGTTTGACCTCATTGTTTGTGGTTATAAATAGCACCCACGTGATGTTTGACCTCATTTTCTATGGCTATAATTAGCACTTGGTAGTGCAGTAGAATCAGGGCTTAAGATAATAGGTTTCTCTTTTAACGAAAACCTTAATGAGAGTCTAAATCAACTACTATAAAACAAATTTGGCGTTGAGTCATCATCCATAAAGGGAAATAATCCCATAGACAGACTTAAGCTTAGGTGGATAGACAATAAGACTCTGATAGCACTAATACACCCTGTCACTAGTGGTATATGAGATGTTTATTACATATAAAGTATTTGTAATATGTCAAATGTTTTGTAAATAAAATATATCAAATATCTGTTGTAAAAAAAAGGAGACAGACATACGAGTCTAGACATGGAAGAAGAAGAAAGCAGACTTGTCTGTGGAAGAATGCGGTGAAGCAAGCCAAACCCCTCCATGGGCTGTAGGGACCTACAGCTGTAGATATATATTAATGGGTCGATGATAAATCGTAGTCAGTGGTCACAACCCTACACAACAGACACCAAGTGGCAGTTGATACTTCTGCTTATGTAAACGTTATGGGATCGAACGTGGTCGAACGGTAGAGCGTTTGGCTGCTAGCCAGAAGGTTTCGTGTTCGGATCTACGGATTTGTGACTGTAGGGCGTCCGTGAGTCCACCCAGCTCTGGGAATCTGACTTAAGTTTATTAAAAGTAAAGGCAGGTGGGCACAGTGCTGACTACACTACCAGTTCATATTCCGAGTTCATATCAACTCTACTTCATCTGCCTGAGGGTCACTAGGTCTTTAAAAGTTTGTTTTATTTGTGTCAAATTATAATTTAAATTGTAACTCAAATTATAATTTAAATTTAATTTTTTTTTAAAAACTAACTTGTAAGTTGTGTTGTTTACACACTACTTCTATAAATAACAGTTAGTTCACAAATGTTCTATTTTTAACCTTCCATTTCACGTCTTAATTACCGTGCTAATTGTGATTACTCCCAATCCAGCCCTCCCGCCGACAATATAATTATGCTACAATTAAAACCACACTTTAATTAGTAATGAAAACATAATTTTCTCTTAGATCAACCTAACCAATTACAATGACCGAGTTAAATTTTTAAAAATATTTTTTTCTAATGAATCTCTTGAATTGCCTGAATCATTAGACAAAGATCATAGGTAACATTAAAATACAGGTCAACCCATTTTAGAAAGTAAGTAGAATCGATAAAATAGTAGATTATTACAGTCAAATTATAGGTTATGGATTTACAGCTGCATGTATTTGCAAAACATGTACAGACACAGGCGCTGGCTCCAAACCCATACTCATGTGCTGACTCCATACACACACTCACAGGCGCTGACTCCATACCCACACTTACATGTACTGACTCCATACCCACACTTACAGACTCCATACCCATACACACAGGTGCTGACTCCATACCCACACTTACAGGTACTGACTCCATACCCACACTTACAGGTACTGACTCCATACCCATACACACAGTTACTGACTCCATACCCATACACACAGGTGCTGACTCCATACCCACACTTACAGGTACTGACTCCATACCCACACTTACAGGTACTGACTCCATACCCATACACACAGTTACTGACTCCATACCCATACACACAGTTACTGACTCCATACCCATACACACAGGTGCTGACTCCATACCCACACTTACAGGTACTGACTCCATACCCACACACCTCTGACCCCCCCCCCCTCTCCGACAGTTTAAAGTTTTGTTTTTGACGTGCAAAAAGCAAAAAATAATCACGTCGTTGGATAGCTTCTAAATTATCAATACTAAAATTTATTTTATAGCAATTTATAAAAGTAAAACTAAAGTCTATAAATGCCGAAGATCGTGTTTTCTAGGAACCAAATATTGTGTCCAGGGACCTACTTTGTCGTGAACGGGTTTTGAACACACGAATTTTGCAGTTAGCAATCGCGTGTTTAACCACTAGACCACGCCGTCCCCTCCTACAATACTCTCTCGGGGCAAGACTTTAACTAACAGAAATGTCGATAATCTATATATATAATTCTCTTCTTGGAGACGTTAGAAAACAAGCTGTAAGCGCGCCTAGCAGTCCCCTTTCTTCCTCTCTTGGCATATCGCAACCTCCCCCACCCCCACATGGTCTGGTGAGCTGTGGTTCATGCCAAATGTTTACAATCGTACAGCCGGGTTTAGTGACGCCTATTAGGGGCAGATAATTTAGTTTGAAAATATTTTAAACTTAGGGCAGGTAACTAAGAGGAAGCTGCTTTCACGGGGGGTGGGGGTGTAGGTTAGGGGTTGGGGTTGGGGGAAATGAGGGTGTGTGGGGGGGGGTATCGTCCTCAACGGCCTACTGATAGTATTTTAAAGCAAATATTTTCAGTGGCAGTGTTGATACTGTCGAATTCACACATTATGAATGACTGAAAAGTAGAAAATAAAACAACTAAATATCGGCGTATGATACGCCGCGGGTCGGCTCGTTCTGAATACTACCAAAGTTCTCGATTCTATGGTATATACATTGACTACGGTTGTTTCAATAATACCAATATTCTCGGATCTATGGTTTATTCCTGGACTAAGTCAAGTCTCAATACTGCCAATATACTCTAATCTATGATTTATTCCTTGACTTAGGTTCTCAATGCTAACAATGTATAGAGATTCTATGAAATATTCCTCGACTGGAGCCAAACCATCTTAAGTCTTTAGTTTGCATCTAGTCCTATAAAGGCCATTTTAGGTCTGTCACATATTTTCTTAAATCTTGTCTCATTTTACGTTGTTGTATCGTTTCGCTGTATGGCTACGTCCTATCCATCCACACTACCCAGTGGCGTTGGTGCGCGGACCTTTGACCACAGGTGCTTTGACCATAGGGGGTTTGACCATAGGGGGTTTGACCATAGGGGGTTTGACCACAGCGGAGCTTTGACCATAGGGGCTTTGACCATAGGGGGTTTGACCACAGCGGGCCTTTGACCATAGCGGTGCTTTGACCATAGGGGGTTTGATCATAGGGGGTTTGACCATAGGGGGTTTGACCACATGTGTTTTCTCAGCAGAGGGTCTTTGATCACAGGTGGTCTATCAACTGGTGTTTGATCACAAGCGCTGTGTCCGGCTTTGGTGCTAGGCCTCATAGATTTATTTTAAATATAAATGAAACACAAATAATGCTACATATAACACGTTTCACAAATAAATAATGTAGATGTACTTGAAAATACATAGCATATATAAAGGATAAAAAATGATACAAAACTTGCCAACAATATAGTCAAAGATGTAATACATAAAACGGTTATCTAAATGACAGATGTACTATAGCACGCAAATATGTCAGTACATCTGTTTGACCATATGTCCAAGGTTTTGACATAGAGTAGTTTAGATCAATAGATGACTTGTATTTATACATGATGATTTAACATATTATTACATCATGTCGAAATTTAAAATATAATTTAGCAACTTTTAAAATAAATCCTTACCATATATGGACAGCATTGGACAAACCACCTGAGATATAAAAAAAACCTAAGTGGACAAAACACCTATGATCAAAGCCGGACGCAGCGCTTGTGATCAAACACCAGTTGATAGACCACCTGTGATCAAAGACCCTCTGCTGAGAAAACACCTGTGGTCAAACCCCCTATGGTCAAACCACCTATGATCAAACCCCCTATGGTCAAAGCACCGCTATGGTCAAAGCCCCGCTGTGGTCAAACCCCCTATGGTCAAAGCCCCTATGGTCAAAGCTCCGCTGTGGTCAAACCCCCTATGGTCAAACCCCCTATGGTCAAAGCACCTGTGGTCAAAGGTCTTAGGACCGTGGCGTTACTAGGTGGGGAGCCACCCGGTGCGGTAAGCGGGGATGTCACCCCACCCCCTACCAACAATTGTGCATTATCGGTCTGCTGTCACCCCTCTTTCCTACCATTTTATTTTTTTAACTGGGTAAAGCATGATATGATTTTGACGGTAATTTTACGATTATTTCAATTTTGGTGTCAACCCTGAAAATGGTGTCACACGTTCTGCACCCCCCCCCCCCCCATCACGCTCCCATATTGTGAATTGTGACGCTACTGACACTACTTTTTAAAAAAAATCTAATTATCGTTACATAATTAAACAATATAATACTTCGTTAATGTCAGTTTTTTTTCTTACTTAACCTTTGCTAATGTCTATCTCTTCCCTCCCGTATCCCCACCCCCACCCCCATCCCACTCCTTCTTATTTCAGTAAAACAAAACTGATGTTGAAAGCGTATCCCGAAAACAAGAGACTGCGCAAGGTCTGACCTTAAAACACGAACACAACCCTGACGGTAAAGACGAAACTTCTAGATCTTGTGCTGACTCCCCATCTCTTCTCAGTGGGGAGTAGATGATGTATCTGATGATGTATCTGATGATGTATCTCCTGTCCTATCAAATATTTATCATTCATGTCACCACGTAGACAAACTCTAGTTTCTGTCATTGAGGTTCTATTTTTAGATTTGTCTCGAACAAGGAAATTAATACAACCATAAGATCAAGACGTCTGGTTTAATATTTCATCAAAAACCTATTTCAACTTAAACAAGATACTTTTAACTAAGTTTTAAATTATATAAAAAAAGAGATAATTTCAAATCATTTTTAGAATTCGATACGATTTTATATGGGCTCTAGATGTTAGATGAAATTAGGAATGATGGTATTTATTAAAAAAACAAGTTCACGTGTGTCTGGTTGCCATAGTAACCAGCCAGCCCACACTTGATACCAGCTATTGACCAGAGCTAGTTGGCTGCGTGGCCAAGAGATAGAGCTCTTGATTGTATTCCCGGGGAGTAGAGTTCGGTTATCAGAGAGAAATAGTTAACGTGTATGCTAGCTAGAGTAAAAGTGTTCAAAAACCGCTTTAGTTGTAAACACTCAACTCGATCTAATTGTTAACTGAAACCAAATGCCTGATAATACCACTATGACCGTTACCAGTTGGCCCACCCACACCCTCCCCTAGAAAGAAGACAAAGTGGATAGAACTCACACAAGTAACATAGAAAAGATCAGTTGTCAATGTAACATAAGCAGCCGAAATGTCGTGAGCCCAACTTGTAAGAATTACTTACAACCGAATACGATTAATATGTGTGTTTGCGCCCCAATGCTCCACTAGGGGTCCACAGTAATGATGATGATGATGATGTGATGATGATGATAATGACGATGATGATTATTATTATGATGATCATGACTGTAATAATAATAATGATGATAATAATGATGATGATGATGATGTTGATGATGATGATGATGATAATGATGATGATGATGATGATAATGATGATGATGATGATGATGATGATAATGATGATGATGATGATGATGATGATGATGATGATGATGATGATGATCATTATGATAATAATAATGATAATTATGATAATAATGATGATGAGGATCATGATAATGATAATGATGATTGCTGGTAGACTCTATCCTAAAGTGGATGTTTGTTACCCCTGCAAGTCGCTCCTCCCCTAGTGTCAATGACCAACATCAAAGCTTCCAGCTAAAATGACCTAGTGTAAAGTTCAAAGACCTGAGCCAGTCACTACCCGTAATTTGATCTCGCAGCATCAACTTTACTCGGTCATTATTTACACAATTATTTTTTTAATTTGGTTATCTATTAGTACTGGGATTATGGTTTAAATTGACATGACTGATACAGGATTCAGAGCGAGTGGGTCTATTTGTGATATAAAACTTGCGAAGTGAATTTATTTTATTTAAGTAGAGGTTCTTATACTGGATATTAGGCGAAATAAGGGATCGGCGAAGTCGAGTCGGTAAAGTTCATGGCTGCTAAACTGAAAATTCTCCAGTTCGAACCCTCGGACAGATGAGGTTCGTTAGCTGGGGACAGTTGCTCTTCTAGGAGAGACAACTCCTAAATCAAACTAATTTTTTCTTGTAGTTTGTTCTCGGTTGGACAAACGCTATGGAAGCAAATCCAAAAAGAAAAGCAGGCTGAAATCGGAGTCAATGGCCTCAATTGCGCTTAACCAGTTTACACGTATACTAAATTGTGTTAGGGGGAATACTTTCCAACACTAGAATTAAAAAAGAACTTTTCCATTAGTTTGGGAACCGCTGTTTTAGATCGCTACAAATATCCTATACTTAGCAGTGCACTAAACGTATGATGTACTCTGTTTTAACTTTTCCCATTAGTTGTGGGTGCTAATGGACGTATTAACACTAATTAATTGATACCAATCTACGTTTTGTATCTAGTACCATATTGGGGTGGGGTTGTGGAGGGGGTGAGGATGGGGAGGGGGTGGGATGTGGAGGGAGAGAGATCGCAACTGAAATAAGTACTGGATAAGTTCCCCCACACTAAAGCAGAGGATACTCCCCCCCCCCTCTCCCCTCCAAGGCACGAAAGCTGTTTTAGTTTGGATGTCGCATTGTGCTAATACATTTAGGTTGTGTACTTTAGGATAACACGGTTTCACAAGTAATGTGCTAACTGCAACACGTTCGTCATTACACGTCATCTATACATACACATGCCAACAAGTGCGGATGCGAACAATAATAACAGATGTCAACAGTGAATACAAATGCCAACAGTGAATACAAATGCCAACAGTAAATACAAATGCCAACAGTAAATACAAATGACAACAGTGAATACAAATGCCAACAGTAAATACGAATGCCAACAATGTTTACAGATTTCAACAAGAAATACAAATGTCAACATTAAGTGCAGATGTCAACATTATGTACAGATGTCACCAATATGTACACATGTCAACAATAATTAGAGATGTCAAAAGTAAGTTATACGTTAACAAAAATGTACAGATGTAGAGAAAATATGTTAACCTATATCTCACATTTACATAAACACATATGCCATCTGAAACATAGATGTCATCTTTTACACACAAGTCACATGAAGCATACATGCACTATAATACCCATTTTAGTTTCTTTTTTTTTTTTGCATTCACAATTGTTGTTAGCTATTTGAACAATGTTTTTTTTTGTCTTGAGTTGAATATTTTCGTGTTTTTTAGTATTTTTAAAACTAATCTTTTCTTTCTTGCTGTTTAACGATTCGTCCGAATTCTCAAATTACTGTTGATATTTAGGAAGTGGTATTAAATATTCACGTGACATTTGGCCGCAGTTTCGAGTTTCTTTTGATGATTTTGAGTTAAAGGTAAATCTTTATTTGAGGAATTAAAAAACATTAAAACGTTTTTGAATATATTGTTCAACATATTCCGTTTCGAATTTTCCAATTTTTTAATCTCTATTTTTATTTTGGAGTACAACACAGGTTATAGTCAATGTATGTGTAATCAAGGTAACATTTAAATGCCAATGACCTCGGTAGGTCATGTGTAAAGGTCACTTACAAATGACACTTTATGAAATGAACTAAAAGGTAATAACTCTAGTTTTATGACAGCTTACGGAAGTGATAGTTTACATCACTGACTCAAGAAGGTCAAAAGAAGATCTTAAGCAAAACTAGACTCACCATAGTGACAGTTTAGGTCACTGACCCAAGAAGGTCAGAAGGTCTTTAGCAAAACGAGACTCACCGAAGCGACAGCAGGGGATGCGATGACCTCAGCAGGCGACAGCAAGGTCAAGTAGGCCACATTGGTCAGGATGTACTTGGAGATAACGATGGCGAACGAGATGTAGACGGACCGGGGCGGGTCTCTGAGGGGTAGAGTGTAAACATGGTAAGTGGTTGAAAATCAAGTGGATGGGGGGGGGGGGGGTACTTAAAAACTGGGATGGGAATGGGTGGGGTCGGTAAAGAGGTTTGAGGGTAATAGTAAACACATTGTAAGGTGGTAGAGATTGGTTGGATGGGATAGCGCATGATTGCTAAACTCCACAAGTCCCGAGTTCGGACCCAAGGGTAGTTGAAGCTCGTTAGCTGGGGGTCAGTAACACATCTAGAGATTAGCAGCGAATACTTTTACTCTGTCCCAGGCGTTGAGGGGGGGGGGGGGATAGCTAGAGAGTTGATGCGATTATTTTCATAGTGGTTCAGGTTTATCCGTGGATACTTGAAATATTTGGGGTTGGTGTAAGCGAGTGGGTGGTAGAAGGGAAAAAAAAAGGGGGGGGGGGGGTGGGGGTTCTGAGGATTAAAGTAAATACACCGAAAGTAATCATAGATTAAAAGTGAATACGAAAGGGGGGGGGGTGAGGTAGGAAGGTCGGGGTCCGAGGGTTTTAGTAGGTGGATGAGTGATTAACTTTGGATACTTAAAAATAATCTATGGGTCGTGTTGAGGGCATACATGGATAATGGTCTGGATTGGGTAAAAAAAGTTTTTTTAAAAAATCATAAAACTTAGTGATAACTGTCTTTTAAAAAAAATAAATGACTTTTCTTTTTATTATACACCATCTTTATAGATCTTTTAGCACCGATTCCAAAGATGGTAAACAATGTCGTGATAGAGGTTTACCTGGCCGGGTCTTTGATTTCCTCCAGTAATGTCGTCATGACCTGCCAGCCGCCGTAGGAAAAGATGGAATAAAAGATGGCGACAGCGAACCTGCCTGGTTCCTGGGTGGTGTTCTGGAAAGGCGCGTCGAAGTTCTCGTTCTCACCTGTAACACGAGGATAATCCTTAGGATAATCTGGGTGTGATGGGGATTAGGATAATCCTTAGGATGATGTGGGTGTGATGGGGGATTAACATAATCCTTAGGATAATCTGGGTGTGATGGGGATTAGGATAATTCTAAGGATAATATGGGTGTGATGGGGATTAGGATAATTCTAAGGATGATCTGGGTGTGATGGGGATAAGGATAATTCTAAGGATAATCTGGGTGTAATGGAGGATTAGCATAATCCTTAGGATAATCTGGGTAAGATGGGGATTAGGATAAGCTTTAGGATAATCTGGATATGATGGGGATAAGGATAATTCTTAGGATAATCTGGTGTGATGGGGATTAGGATAATCTTTAGGATAATTTGGGTGTGATAGGGATTAGGATAATCATTACAATAATCTGGGTGTGACTGGATGGGGATTTGGATAATAAATGATAATCTGGTTTTGATGGGGATTAGGATAATGCTTAGGATAGTTTTGGTCTGTTGTGGGGGGATTAAGATAATCATTAGGAGAATCTGGGAGAGTGTGGGATTATGATAACCATTAAATTAATAAGTATGTGTTAGGGATAAGGATAATCCTTAGGATAACCTGAGTGTAGGGATGATCGTTATCATTAACTTTAAAAGTGAGTTTGTGGGAACAGTTAGTTATTAAAAATGCTTTGAGGGATGGTCAGTGTAATCTTAAAGAAACTATTCGGTGTGATACACGGATAATCATTAAGATACTCAAAGGATAAGCTTAGATAGTTTGATAGTGTGCACACGCCAAGAAAATGTACGTGTCTGAAATTAATCCTCGTGATGATTTGAGTGTCTCAGCCTTGAGAAAATACTAATTATAATCCACGTGCACGAGTTCATTAACAAGCGTCAGAAATACAAACCAACGATTTAAGAGAGAAACGACTCGAACGATTTTTCCATAACTAGCCGTCTCGCTTTAAAATGGGCGATAAATAATAATCAAGGGAAACAACCAAGAAAAAAAACAACTTGTGCTGTGAAATATTTTCTTCCTTGTCAAGCAGTGGAACAGAAGTAGAATTTATTCAGAATCTATTCTCAAATATTTAATACCATATACTAAAGTTAAGTGAAGATTTTTTTCCGTCGTTTAAAATTTCACATTTTTAAAACTAAGATAAACGTAAATAAATAGTAAAAGTTATTTATTATTATTTTTGGGAAAAATGAAATAGCCTTGAGGTTTAGTTCCAGATTTTATTCAATAAATCTAGAGGTATAAACTGTCTTTACCTTGCAGTTTAAAGATTTAGATCAGGGGTCGGCAACCTTTTGAGATGGAAGAGCCAAAAGTTACAATTTTCAAAATTTCCCAGTTTTTAAAGAGCCACTTACATTTTAATTTCAATATTTTATTATTTGATTAGGACTAAGTAAATAAATGCCCCCCCCCCACCCCGAACGAAATTATATAGAAAATATATAATTTTAACAGTGCCCCCCCCCCCCCCCCCGAAAATTTCAATTACACCCCCGGAGAAAACAGTGTGGAAGAAACACTGTTTACGGATATCACCGGCTCAGGAGGTGTCTGCCATTATCCAGGCAGGCCTCAACACGGCTAACTTTGACTAACTGGCTTGGATACCGGTTTGATTACCGTGTATCGGTCGCTTCTGTCATTTGGTTCTCACTAGACTTATCTCCCACCCCACTGAACGAAGGGTAAACTCGTACCCCATAGTCCAGTACACGGCTCAACAATAGGAAGCTAATAGCTAAAAAAAAAACTACGTCACTCAGCTCAAATTAATGATTACTGACACATATGGAAATGCATTCTGAATAAAATTACATTCCCATTTAAAAACATTCGAAAAGTCGGCACTTGGGCAGTTGCAAGCATGGGATTGTTGCCACGGGGCTGTGGGGCTGGGCCTGATGCCCAAGCTGCTGTCAGCTGTCCGTTTACTTTCTACTGCACATATTCTCATGTTCTCTGATGATTGTTTTAATTCTGTTTAAAGTTGTTTTTCTTCACATTATGATATTTAATATGAGTTTTGAAAATGAAATAATATAACTATTAATATTTGTGCAAGGAGCTGGAGAGCCGCATCTTGACGGCAAAAGAGCCGCATGCGGCTCGCGAGCCGCAGGTTGCCGACCCCTGATTTAGATCATGTATCATTAAGAATAAAGAGGGACAAAGGCTAATCAACACAAACCAAATTTCTTTACAAAATTGCTGGTAGATCCATTACAGCAGTTCTTAAATGGCGTTAAAAAAAAAATAAAATGAAACGACGGTATTCGTTTGAGACGGGGTTTTTATTTTTTATTTTTTGCAGTGACTTTTTTCTGTGTAAATTTTGCTTCGGTTTTCGTTGATTTTTTTTTCTTTGTTTTCGTCAATTTCAAATTTTCTCGATTGTTTACGAGCTGATCTGTATCGGTGTGTAATAAATATTGCAACTTTTCTTCACGAATCGCTCGTTTGATTTATCTTCATTGCGTTTATATTGTTTTTATTATTTTTTGCTTTGTCTGCCGATAAAGATTATTGAAAGCTTTATGAAACGACACAACAATTGTTTTAATGTAAAAAATTAAACTAATTATCTAACGGTTTTTGCGAACTTTAGTTTTATAAAAAAAACTCGCGTAATTGAACGTAAAAAAATGTATAACAGATTTCCGGTGGATAGCGATCAGTTGAGTTATGGGATCAATAACCATATTGTTTTTAATTTCCGGGATGTTAAGCGAGATTAAAATTTTTATGTGCTAGCCAATAAAGCATGTATTTTGTACTGACTATTCTTCTTCCGACTGCTTTTGTATTTCCGACTACCTCTTGTATTTCTGACTGCCTCTTGTATTTCCGACTGCCTCTTGTATTTCCGACTGCTTTTGTATTTCCGACTGCCTCTTGTATTTCCGACTGCTTTTGTATTTCCGACTACCTCTTGTATTTCTGACTGCCTCTTGTATTTCCGACTGCTTTTGTATTTCCGACTACCTCTTGTATTTTCCGACTGCCTCTTGTATTTCCGACTGCCTCTTGTATTTCCGACTGCCTCTTGTATTTCCGACTGCCTTTTGTATTTCCGACTACCTCTTGTATTTCCGACTGCCTCTTGTATTTCCGACTGCCTCTTGTATTTTTGACTGCCTCTTGTATTTCCGTTTGACGCTTGTAATTCCGGTTACCTCTCCGCTCTTGTGTATTTCCGACTGCATTTTGTTTTTCCAACCGACTCTTGTATTTCCGATTGCTTCTGATATTTCCGACAGTTTTTTGTAATTCCGACGGCCTTATGTTTCTTCGACTGACTCGCATAGTTGCGGACGCCCTATGTATTTCCAGCTAGCTAGTGATATCCCTTACGACCAATGTTATTGCTGACTATTCATTAGCACAGTGTTCACCAAAGCTAGGTAGAACCAAACTAGAACAAAACATTAGCTCACGCAACAAGGCTACCAGTCCCAAAACTATACTGTCATCGATACTGAGGTAATCTATAGAATAATAGAGATACACTACAGATGATATCTTTTACCTGTCGTACGATGGTGGATAAACCTGACGTAACTCACCTGTCGACTGTGATCTCGTATATTTAACATCGATGACGTCACTCAACTGTGGCGGGTGGTTCTATACTTAACATCGATGACGTCACTTAACTGATAAAAGTGATTTCCTATACCCTACGTCGATGACTTCATTCACCTGTAGCAGGTGATACCTAATATTCAACATTGATGACGTCACTTACCTGTGGCAGGTGATTCCTAAAATTTAACATCGATGACGTCACTTACCTGTGGCGAGGTTGTAGATGCCAGAGACGATGATGATGAGGAGGACGATGATCTTGGAGCCGGACAGAAAGGTCTGGATCTTGGTGACGTACTTCATGTATACACAGTTCAACACCACCATGGTAACTAGGGAAAACAAAAGATTTTAGGTCAACACCACCATGGTAACTATGGAAAACAAAAGATTTTAGGTCAACATCACCATGGTAACTAGGGAAAACAAAAGATTTTAGGTCAACATCACCATGGTAACTATGGAAAACAAAAGATTTCAGGTCAACACCACCATGGTAACTAGGGAAAACAAAAGATTTTAGGTCAACATCGCCATGGTAACTAGGGAAAACAAAAGATTTCAGGTCAACACCACCATGGTAACTATGGAAAACAAAAGATTTCAGGTCAACAACACTATGGCAACTAGGGAAAACAAATCGTAAACATCAAAGTCAATCGTAAACATCAAAGTTTCAGTTCCGTTCAACCGATTTTTTCTGTTCTTGCAGCTTGAAAACATCTATTGTTTGTATACCGGAGGATGTTTTTCTTTAAGCCACCTCTTCAAATCACCTCTTTCAACCACCTCTTCAAATCACCTCTTTCAACCACCTCTTCAAATCACCTCTTTCAACCACCTCTTTCAACCACCTCTTTCAACCACCTCTTTCAACCACCTCTTTCAACCACCTCTTTCAACCACCTCTTCAAATCACCTCTTTCAACCACCTCTTTCAACCACCTCTTTCAACCACCTCTTCAAATCACCTCTTTTAACCACCTCTTCAAATCACCTCTTTTAACCACCTCTTCAAATCACCTCTTTTAACCACCTCTTCAAATCACCTCTTTTAACCACCTCTTCAAATCACCTCTTTTAACCACCTCTTCAAATCACCTCTTTTAACCACCTCTTTAAATCACCTCTTTTAACCACATCTTCAAATCACCTCTTTTAACCACCTCTTTAAATCACCTCTTTCAACCACCTCTTTAAATCACCTCTTTCAACCACCTCTTTAAATCACCTCTTTCAACCACCTCTTTAAATCACCTCTTTCAACCACCTCTTTAAATCACCTCTTTCAACCACCTCTTTAAATCACCTCTTTCAACCACCTTTTTAAATCACCTCTTTCAACCACCTTTTTAAATCACCTCTTTCAACCACCTCTTCAAGCCGACTCTGTGATTTTTAATCCCAGCTCACGAGACGTAGACAGTGTGGATTAAATTTCCTAAAATTACTTTTAATCCAGACGGTATTAGTATCTAAATTGTAAACAGTGGCGATAATCCGTTTACTTTTGGTCTAAGTCACGGTAACCTAACTAAACAAGCCCAAGTCGTTAAACTTTATAGGTAATTTATTACTCATACACACACACACGCACGCACGCACGCACTCAAGCACGTATGCACACAAACACACTCACACACATATATATATATGAGGGCTGTGTTGATCACCATGCACAGCCGTGCTCTCCTGCTCCAAGTGAGTCAGGTATCAATCACAGGGAGCGAAGGGCTGTTGAATTAAGCGCTTAGCCAGTTATCGTAGTTGTTGTTATTGTGATAGACTTAGGTATTAAAAAAAACATCTTGCAATCTATAAAGCTGATAAAGTCAAATGGTCTGTGTTGTCGCGTCGAAGTTTGACTGTCCGTTGAATAGAGTTTCTTTCAGAATCTTTTCATGTGGAGGGGGGGGGCAGCGTCCTTCAAAGCACGTCTACTTTTATATATAAAAAGCACGTCTATATTTATATATATATACAAATAGTATTTATCTATTTATCTATATAATTATATACGTATATATATATGTATATATATATACATATATATATATATATATATATATATATATATATATATATATATATATATATATATATATATATATATATATATATATATATATTGCCTGTCAAGCCTATAAAGAGCTGTTGTCTCGATACCTCCCACCACAGCCCCCCACCCCCCCCCCCTTATAAAGCAAAAAGAAAGTATGAGAATACAATAAGACACCGTTGACATATTGCTCATAATCTCTAGTTTGGGTGACAACTGTTTTAATCGTGTCAAGGATTCCTAGTCAAGATAAACAATACATGACGTCAGCGTCTATAAATAGATTCTACGAACGGTGTTGTTAAGCGTATCCGTAAGTCTCTACTGTGAAGGAAATGGGTCGGGGGGACACTTGAGAATATGCGGGGCAGGGGGCTGGTCACGAAAATGAAAACCGGAAAATTAAACGCATTGCTACGAACCCGGATGTAAAAAGAAAATAAAGCCGAGTCATGATTTGATAGCAAATATTTGAGTCACGCCTCCTTCTCAGAATAGTTATTAAAAAAATTGTTTTGTTTCTTGAATTTGAGACAACAAATTTTTTTCTTGTAATTTCTTCATATTATAAATGTTTTGGTAATTATTTTAGTCACGTAGACCGTCGTCTTCTCAGAATTCTTATTTACAAGATTTTCATTTCTTAAATTTGAGACTAAAGAGATTGAAAACAAATTGTACTTCCTTCACATTTTCAATTAAAATTAAAAAGTACAACTTTCAAATAATTAACAATAAGGAAGTTTGTCTCTTATTTAAAAATAAAGATAAGGGAAAGGAGATACCTATACACAAGTAGTTACATAGAAAAGGTGTATTCTAGTAGGTAACTGTGTGCGGAGGTGTTGTATGATCAGCATAACATCCATCTGTCTTCAATAGAAAATGTACCCATATATATATATATATATATATATATATATATATATATATATATATATATATATATATATATATACATATTTTAGTAAAAAGGTTATGATTTAGTATTTACAAATATTATAATGGTGTGATTTATTATAATATCTATTTCCTAAACCTGCAATAATAAACCGGGAGTGATCTCCCCTAAACTTTCTCGAATATTCTAATATAACACTACGTGGGATGACAACTCGGAATATAGACATGATTTTTGTTTACTTAAACTTTTAATAAATAGAATAAAATCTAGTAGAAAAAAGAATTGCGCACCAAGTGAACGCCAAAGCAAAAAGCGCATAATAGTGCGCAATATTATTAGTTCTTTATAAATTTACATGTGTTTTTTTGAGAAATCGGAAATAGAGTAAATTAGTACTTCCGGTCAACGGAAATTACTCAAAATTCGATAGAAGGTAGAGAATTAGGTCTTTTACTTACATTTGAAATTTCATTTATCTATCTGAAATAGTACTCAAGTTATAGGCTTTTAAAAACTTCAAAGTAGAAAAAGTACCACTTCCAGTTGTGGGAAATCGCTCAAAAGTTGATACGGATCTACGATTTTGATAAAATACCTATATATGAAATTTCATCAACCTAGCTGTAACAGTACTCAAGTAATCGTGTTTACACACAGACAGACAGACAGACAGACAGACACACACACAGACATACGGACAAGATTGCAAAATTATGTTTTTCCGTATCAGTGAGGTGTAAAACGTCGAGATTTGTAAAAATCTCGATTTTTTTTGCACGATTACAATACTTTCTCTATACTTCGTATATACGAGAAAGTAAAAAGGAATATATCGCTCTCCGCGAGTAAGCCCATGCCCTACTCTCTGATTTCCGGAATGCCTCGAGTTATGATTCGGTGACAATTTCCGACTGAAGCTCAGCCGGTAACTGACGTTCGCAACCAATCAGTGCCAAGCTTTCTATTAAGCCCGGAGATCACAGAAACTGCCGGAAGTTGCCGATGGAAACCGGGGTGACTGCAAAACGTTGGCGTGGTGAGGAAAAAAAAACAGAGTGTCATAGTCATAGCCTGCACGCGCTAAATCTGCACCGGAAACGAGTTAAAACTTTTCCCAGAATTCTAACGCAAAAAATAAGCAGTATTGATCTGTTAATTTCTGACGCGGGCTCATGGACTCAAATCTTAGTTTTAAATCTTTGGAAATGTACGAATGTAAAGGGTTAATACCTTGGTTTCTCCCCGATACGAATTTCGTTAAAAAAATAAATTGTTTCGGCATTAGAGAAATATTTTCTATTTGAGAAAATAAAAGTACATTTATATATATGTATACTTTATCAATTATTAAAAATACATATATAAAAATATATTTATATACATACATACGTATATACGAATACAAAATTTGTATTTGTATATACGTATCTATGTATATACTTATATTCGTATTTAATATGAATATAAGTATATGTATATAAGTATATATGGATATATATATATATATATATATATATATATATATATATATATATATATATATATATATATATATATATATATATATATATATATATATATATATATATATGTGTGTGTGTGTGTGTGTGTGTGCGTGTTTGTGTGTTTACGCTAAGTATTATTTTGTTAGTGACAATTCTAACATAAGAAATATTAATTTCTAAGTCGCGCCGTCATTTTCGGTTTGTCGACAGCAATGCTCTGGAAAAAGAGAACCGAAAATAACTTTTAAAAAATATAAGAGACGTATTTTTTTCTCTCTCTCTTAGTCTGTAGAGAAGAAAGCTACAGAGCATGTTAATGGCTAAAACACATTCGTCCCATGCTAAAGGATCATCAAAGGATCCTCGTCTTCTATTCAGCGTACTAGGGGCAATAATCTAATGGGCGCTAAACGCGGGATGGCAAAACCCGAAAGACGGACGTCACAGAAGACAAATATGGCGGTATGGTAGTCGGCACGGACTGTGTTGACGAGCTAGCGGAAAGATGCCAAGGAGAAAAAAAAATCTAGCAGACGATTCTAATAATAGCCCAGATAATGACGGGAAAATATTTTTCATCGGAAGATCTATCGGTTATCATAAAAGGTCCAGATTTTGGACTCGTAGTTTGGATTCTTGTTTTTATTCTTTTTTTTTTATGGTTAAGATTCTGTAGGGTATTACTTTTTTAAATTAGCTTTTATTATTAGCTTTTTTATTAGCACAATTTGTCTTTGTTTTTGTTTGTCTCTTTGTGAGATGTAGCAAATCTTGTAACTTAATTTTGACCCACTACTAACTCATTCAGTTATTGCGTTCGCAGTTTCCAGTTACATTAGATTCCGTGGACAAGGAAAGAATA